CAAAAATCTGTCCGATGCAGTATTGCCAGATATTGATACTAAAACAAACTGAAAATAAATAAACATAAACCGAAATTATTTCCAATCTTTTGCAAATAAGATAAGATAAAGATACTGCTGACTCTAAACTGAAACTTCCTGCTTTATTAACTTTCTAAACAACTACCAGAAATGTAGTGCCCATGAAAGGACCCGCAAAATCAACGTGGATTCTTTGCCACGGTAACACAGGCTATTCCCAAGGATGTAGCGGTGCAGGTTTTGGCACCTTTTGCACATATTGACATCCTGAGCAGTTCATGGCGAGCTGCTCGATCTGCTGATCTATACCAGGCCACCATACGAAACTTCTTGCAAGTGACTTCATCTTTACCACTCCAAGATGTCCAACGTGGAGCTCCTCCAAGACTCTAGTTCGCAACTTAGGTGGTACAACAACTCTTAATCCCCACATGATGCAACCCCCATCTAGAGTGAGTTCATCACGGCGCTGATAGAATTGCATGAATCGAAGCTTCTGCTCTGCATTCCAGCCAGACTGTATAGCGGAATATACCTGTGACAATGTAGGATCTCTCCTGGTTTCTCTCCGAATCATTTCATCTGTAACAGGAGAACTCTCAAGCTGAGCAATTGTAAAAACATCCAAAGGTGTGCTTACATTCTCTGTCTTTGAATCACAACCAACCAATGGTAAACGTGATAGCCCATCAGCGTTAGCATGTTTGTGTGTTCTTTTGAATTCAATCTGGTATCTATGTCCTCCCAGAAACAACGCCCACCTTTGCATCCGCGCTGCTGCTGTCAGTGGAACTCCTTTCTGAGGACTGAAGATGGAAACCAATGGTTGATGATCTGTAACCAAGGTAAATGTGTTTCCATACAGATACTGATTAAATCGTTTCACACCCCATACCAGGCTCAAAGCTTCCCTGTCAATCTGTGCATAGTTCTTCTCAGCAACAGTAAGGGAGCGTGACGCGAAAGCTATGGGGCGCTCCGTTCCATCAGCCATCACATGTGACAACACTGCTCCAATTCCGTATGGTGAGGCATCGCATGCTAACCTTAGTGGTTTGTGAGGGTCAAAATGAGTCAGTACTGTATCTGACATCACCAGTTCCTTTGGTTCCTGAAAAGCTTGTGTACATTGCTTGGACCACATTCATTTCTTTCCTGCTTGTAACAGGGCATGTAGAGGATGGAGAACAGTGGCTAGATTTGGCAAAAACCTGTTGTAGTAATTGATAAATCCAAGGAAGGACCTCAATTG